CAGTGTTGTACAAACAGCAGTATGGTCCATTTCCAGAACTTTTTTCATTATCTTAAACAGATGTTCTATACCCATTAACAGTTCCTCCCCTTCTCATACTCTTTCTCTTTTCTCCTTCCCTCTCAGTCTTTATGAATTTCCACCTTCTAGGTAATTTACATAAGTACAATCATGTACACTATTTGTCATTTTGTATCTGACTTTTGTTTCTTAGCATGTCTTTAGTTCATTTATGTTATGTGTTAGAATTTCATTCCAAGATTGAATCATATTTTTTCTCATTTATTAATTGATATACATTTGGGTTGTTTCCACTTTTTAGCTACCGTGAACAGTGCTGTGAASATTGTTATCGTACAGGTATCTGAGTCTTAATATCTTTCAGTATTGAGAGATATTATATCTAGACATGGAATTTTAAATCAAATGGTAGTTCTGCTTAACTTTGAGGAACCACCACAGTTTTCCATAGAGGCTGTATAATTTTACATTCTCAGGAGCAATGCACAAGGGTTCCAGTTTCTCTACATTCTCCTCAGTATTTTTTCTTCTCCTCCTTCTTCACAAAAGAAAAAAAAATAGCAATACTAATGGGTGAGGTCCCAGTTCTTAATTAATTACTTTAATATTTTAACCATTTTAAGTATACAATTCAATGGCATAAATACATTCACAGTGTTATACAAATAGCAGTATGRTCCATTTCCAGAACTTWTTTCATTATCTTCAATAGATGTTCTATACCCATTAATAGTGCCTCCTCTCACAATATTAATGTGGTGAGGTCCCAGTTCTTCACCATGGTGAGGTTTTATAAGGGCCACTGGACAATTCTCTCAGATTTTGACCTAAATTTAAATTATTTTTAATCRAATATACTATTTTTTCCATTTTTCTCTTTAAGGAAAAAATGGTAAAGCATCATATGAAATTTATATTTCATTAGCAAATTCATCTTTTTTTCCAATGAATTTGAGGATTTGGAGTTTGAAGGATAATTTTAGAGTTTTGATTAAAACTTAATTTTAAAGCAGTATCATAAACTTAAAATGCTTTGGTAAGAATTAGGCTATACTTAGTAATCCCTGTATAATACTGCAATATTAATTACATAAGTTTGTTTCACACCATTGTTTCTACATAATGATGCTAAAAAAAGTCTTCAGTTTTCATTTAAGGATCATATTAGTATTTGCTTTTTTTTCTAACATGCAAATAAATTTGTTAAATTTTAGGGTTTTTTTAAATTTAGATTTCAGAATGGGATAACAAGTTACTTTTTAAGGTTAGAAGATATTTAATATTTTTGTATGCTTAATATTTATGTTATTTCACCAACTTCTTCTATTTCTAGGCCTGAATTTAGAAACTGATGAAACAAATTATCAGTAATATTTTATCTTAAGTCTCCAGTTCATGTAGATGGTTATTGGTAGTGAACACAGAATAACTCGGTACAACAATGTCATTTGAATTCCTTGGGGAAAAGGTGTCTTAACCTTGGTACTTTTGACATTTTGGGCTGGCTAACTATTATGGAAGAACTATCTGTGTAGGCTGTTAAGAGCATCTACCCAGTCAATACCAGTAGCAATCTCTCCTGCCCCAAACTTGTGACAACGGATAATGTCTCCAAACATTGCCAGATATCCCCAGGTTGGGGAGTGGCTTGGTCACAAAATTGCCCTTATTTGAGAACACTCTACTGGGAGTATCTGGGAAAACATATTAGCAACTACCATTTTTTGAGGACTTGTTCTATGCCAGACTCTTTACGTACATTAATGCTTATAAATATCTGTCAGTATTGGTATTAATCCATTTAATAAACAAGAACTTAGCTGAGAGATATTCATTAGCTTGTCCATGATTGTATATCCCCTTTTTTGTGTCTCTTCTGTCAATGCACAGTGCTATCTAACCTAGCTCAGAAAGCAAAGAGTTATCCCAAAGGGTATTACTATACTCTTGCATGTTGTTGCCACCTAGATGTCATTTGTAATTAAGTCTTCAAAAAGTCATTTCACTGTTATATTTTGCCAGCTACTTCAGATGATTGAGAACATGGTAAGAAATGTGAATTCAGTGAGCATAGAGCCATTGCCATACTTCATTTGCTGTGAAATTAATCCCTGGGTCAAAAGTAGTGATGTGTGGAATCCATGATAGTGTAAGTCCCCACACAGTTTTGGTAGCAGCATTGTATGCAAAGAAGGAAAATCCATATCCAGAAAAGATATCTATTTCAGTAAGAGCAAAGCACCTGCCTTTGCGTCATGGAAGCACTCATGTATTCACCTTGCCACCAGGTAACTGCCTTATCACTCTAGGGAGTGCCATATTAGATTCTCAGTATTGTTTTCTTGTTGGCACATTAGGCATTCAGCAGTGGCCATAGCCAGTTTGACTTTGGTGAGTGAAAATTCATGTTACTGAATTCATACATATTTCCTATCTCTGCATGGCCACTTTGTTTATAAACTTGTTGGGGCAATGGTGGGAGTGGCTAGTGACTTAAGTATTTTTATATAGAACACAAATGTCTGTGTTTTGAGTTCCTAACCATCCAGCTAAACATKTTAGAGTGTCCCAAAGCCCACCAACACTTCTGACACCAACTGTAAGTTTATCAGACCCCATGATCACCCTCAGGTTAAATATTTTGCTAGAAGAACTCACAGAATTCACTTAAAGCTGTTGTTCTCATGGTAATGGCTGATTACACAGGAAGGATTCAGATTAAAATCAGACAAAGGAAAAAACATGTAGAACAGAGTCTCAGAGAGCTCTGAGTATTATGTTGCCAGTTGTCCTTCCCAGTTGGGACTTGTATGCAGGGCTTCTTCTAGGAATGATTTGTGATGATATACACAAAATATTGCCACAATCATGGAAGCTTACTCAAGCCTTAGTTTGCAGAATTTTTATTAGACTTTTGTCACATAGACATGAATAATTGACCATGCTGCTGACCTTGATTTCTGCTGTGGAGGTGGAGCTGATATTCAGCCTAAAGCCATATAATAAAGCCACTTAATGAAATACATTGTTAGCACTTACTATCTAGTTTGGCCCAAGGATTCTAGGTGAACACAGATCCTTATCAGGCAAGACATTCTGAAGGTTTAGAGAATTTTTCTGAGAAGCAGAGGGCAAAGGCCCTATCTCTCTCTTTAGATGAAATGAATTCTTTTTTTTTTTTTTTTCTTTTTGGTACTGGAGATTGAACCTAGGGACGCTTAATCACTGAGGCACATCCCGGGCACTTTTTATATTTTATTTAGAGACAGGGTCTTTTGAAGATGCTTAGGACCTCACTGAATTGCTGAGGCTGGCTTTGAACTTGTGCTTCTCCTGCCTCGATCTCCCCAACCATTGGGATTACAGGTGTGTGCCACCATGCCTGGCTCGGTTTTGTTTTTTGTGTGTGTGATGCTGGGGATTGAACCCAGGGCTTATGCATGCGAGACAAACACTCCACCAACTGAGCTATATCCCCAGCACCAGTCTTGCTCTTTTTAAATAGCTTTATTAAGATAGAATTAATATATCATTCAATTCACCCATTTTTAAGTGTACAATTCAGTGGTTTATTAATAGTGTACAAGTATCACCACTGCCAATTTTAGAACATTTTATCACCTCAAAAGGAAATATTATACCTTTTAGTTATCACTTCCTAATTCTCTCAACTTTTCCCTTTTTGTCCCTAACCAACCACTAATATATTTTCTGTCACTGTAGTTTTCCTTTTAATTTTATATGAATGGAATTATATAATCATTTCTTTATGTATGTATGTGTGACTGGCTTTATTTCATTGAGATAATGTTTTTATAGGTCATCCATGTTGTTGTAGGCATCAGTACTTCATTACTTTTTAAGGCTGTGTAATATGCCATTATGTGGATATACCACAGTTTGTTTATCCATTTATTAGTTGATAAACATTTGGGTTGTTTTCATCTTTTCAGTGTATGAAGAATACTCCGTAGAGATTTATGTATTGAGTTTTTACATGGGTATATGTTTTTATTTCTCTTCGCTAGAAGTGAAAATTCTGGGTCTTATGGTAACTCAAACCTTTGTTTGAATTAAAATGTGTGTGTTTGAAGAATTACCATTGTGTTTTCCCTAACAGCTATATCATTTTACATTACTACCAGCAGTGTCTAAGGATTTCAATTTCACCACATCCTTGACAACAGTTGTATGTTTGATTCCAGCCATCCTAAAGTGTGAAGAGGTTAACTCATTGTGATTTTGATTTGCATTTTCCTAATAATTAATGATTTTGAGTATCCTTTTTCAAGGGTACACTGATAGGAAATTCAATCTCTCTATGGTTGTTTTAGCTGAAGAACCAAAGCTTTTATTAATTATGTCTTTCTTTGTGTGTGATTTTATAGCTTACACCTAAGGTAATTTGACCATCCGTATAATGTAGAGCTTTTAAAAGTTTTAAACAATTTCTTAAATAAAATTTGTGTTTTATGTTTTAAAAGCATTACTCTTTCCATAGTTTATATTGGGGAAGGTATGGCAAAGGTGCCTGGAGATAAGGCAGAGTTTCATGTTTATATAGTGTGTGTGCTTATTTTTTAAATGAAGGTAGTTACTTGGCCTCTCGTTTCAGTTTCCTTGTCTCTTAAGTGAAAATGACAGTGTCCCCCCATTGGAGTATAAAATATAATACAATTGCATGGAATTGCACATAGTTAGTATTCAGTAAACTTTAGCTGTGATGATGTTGTTCGCGATAATGATAATGATTAATTGACCCTTGAAGATCAAGTTCAGACTTTACTTATTTTTTTTGTTGGGTCAAACACAGTAAGTGCAATATCCTCAGCTCACAAACTTAGATTTTAATTAAGTTTTCTTTTTTCTTAATATATGAATTTTATTATAGAACGCATAGATGAGATTTTTATATACTATTATACAATAAAATATTAACTGCTGCCTTCTTTGCCCTACTACTTTTATTGATTTTTCAGTTTATGGGAAAAACTGATGGAGATTATTATACTCTGGACGACATGTTTGTCTCCAAAGCAGCTGAGAGACAGCATCTTGGCGAAGAGGAAGAGAACCAGAGGAAAAGGGCTATTGCTGAGCATCAGAGTCTTGCTGCACAAATGGAAAAATGTCTTTATTGTTTTGACAGCTCTCAATTTCCTAAGCACCTTATTGTTGCAATAGGTATTAAGGTAAGAAATATGACATTTATTGATCTAATGAGAAGATTTTATAGTATATGTAGATTTGCCTCTTTCTTCATATATCTCTAAGATTCCTAAAGAATGTCTTTGTTTTTTCTGTGTTTCAATATTTTTCCATCCACGATTCCTCCATAGAAAGTATAAATATTAAAATGACATGAAGCTCACATCTTGAGTGATTCTATTTTATTGAGAGGAGCTACTGGGAAGTKATTAAGCTGCAGAGTTTGGAATCACATTTCTTGACCTCAGATTCTGCCTCTATCATTTATCAGCCTTGTGACATTGTACCAGGTGATTCTTAGCATTAAAGTCACCTCAGAGGGGTTCAATCTGAAGTAGCTTCACTTTCTTTTTATACTTTCTCATAAAACTTGTTTCTTCATAGAATAATAGCTCACAATTTGAAGATTTTTACTACATTTTTTAACTTGGTTATTAGACCTCCACTCTAGTCATCAAACTTCATGAACAGATGTAGCTTTTCCTTGACATCAAATATCAGTCATCTGGTTCTGTTCCTTGTACATAATAGGGCTTTATTTCAATTAACATTTATTCTTATATTAGGTAAATATTTTTTTGTATCTGTAATATGCCAAAATCTAATTACTTATGAGAAAAGTGGAGAATCAGGTATACTTTTGAGATTATGTTATAAGGAAATAGAACAGAGAATAAACAAAGTAATAATTGTCCTAATTTAAGAGACAGTTAATTTTTATAGAGCAAATATAGTAAGGAAATGGGATAAAATGATGGGGGAGTATATAATTTTTTAAAAAGTAGACTTTTGAGGTATTTTAGTAAGTTGTATAAGATGAGAAAGAGCAAGAGATATGAAGTTACGAAGGAATATGTTTCAGGAAGGGGCGTCAGTGAGTGAAAAGTCATGAGGAAATGAGTTTGGCATTCATAGAACAGAAAGAAGGCTGGAGTGAAGTAAGAAAAAGTGATAGTTTAAGAAGCTGAAAGAATGGATGCTAATTTCAGGAACTGGTAGTTTGGGGAATAGACACAAACATTTATTTATTTGTTTATATACTCTTGTCTATGTATGTGGGCGTGAACCCCACCCCCAGTCTTTAATATTTTTAGATCATTAGGATAGTCAGTTTGKGTTTTAATTTCTTTTATGTAATAAATATTTATTCCCCTTTAGTGTCATTTATACCTTTATAAATATAGGAATAATTAAACATTAAGTAACATTTAACATGTTTCTATATAATGCCTTAGAAGTTTGAGGATTATTTTACATGACTTCATTTTCTCTAGTATACTAAAAATAGTCTGTGTCCAGGGAGACAGGTATTATGAGTGTAAACCAGTTGAAAGCCTCCTGTTTTATATATTGTATCTTTGTCTCTTTTGTATTGCTATAAGAGAATTCCTGAGGCTGGGTAAGTTATAAAGGAAAGAGGTTTATTTATCTCACAGTTCTGGAAGCAAGTGGTAGAGTTTGGATCTGGAACATCCCTCAAAGGCTTATGTATTGAAGGGTCCTCAGGGCAGCAACGTTAAGAGGTAGAGCTTTTGGGAAGTGACTGGATTCTGAAGATTTTGATTTTTTAATTGACTAATCCATTGATGGGTTCATAGCTGATGGTATTATTGGGAGGTTGTGGAAACCTTAGAAGGGGGCTCAGTTGGGGAAAGTAGATCACTGGTTAAATCTTGTCCCTGGTTCCTCACCCCCACCTACCCTTCTCTCTGCTTCCTTTTCTGGCAGCTTTTCTGTCATGCCCTTTCACCACGACATTTGCCTCACCTTAGGCCCAAAGCAGTGAGCTGGTTGATTATGGACTGAAATCTCTGAAACTGTGCCCCCAAATAAATATTTCCTCCTTGAAGTTGTTTTTATAAGTTATTTTGTCACTGTAATAAAAAACTGACTGGGACATGAGGGAAGTTTAAGATCATGGTGTCAGCACTTGCTTGGCTTCTGTTGATAGCTTTATGTTGCTCCGCGCTTGTTGGAAAAGTGTAAAGAGAGCCTGGAGGGTAGAAGAGATCACTTGGCAAGAGAATGATAAGCCAAATTCACTTTATAACATCATAATTTCGTGGGAACTTTATAAGGGTGGAGACCCCATGACTCAATCATCTCTTAAAATTTTTCTTATTCTGTATTAGGACAGAGTGGGCTACCTCAGTAGCTTCTGAAGCTAATACATTCCTGTCACAACAATTACTYTAGTAAAGCTGGTTTCCTTATCTACTGACACATCATATAAAGTTTGCACCTTGTTTACCTCCTAAGCATCCTAACATCTCTCAACACATTATATTTCAACCTGAGTTTCTATGGGGACTTCCCATATCCAAACCATCACAGACTGCGTTTAAGGCAGGCATTTGTTATTTCACTGCCCAGTGGAAATGGTCAGCCAGTAGATAGATGTTTCTGTTTCTTCAATTCTTTCTACTATACCATCTCATGCATCCCCTTTCCCTTTCTTCTCAGTTTTCTTCTTTTACTAAGAGATAATCCATATTTTCCAAAATACTTCTCTGCTTTTAGTTTACTAAGAGTTAGCCAATTTGTTTGTTTGTTTGTTTGTTTTTCTTTCAGGCTTTTCATTCTGAAGTCTTTGAAATTATTTGAATCTCCTTTCCCCCCCTGTGCTTTATTCTGCTATTTTTTCCCTAAAAACTATAATCTACCTTCAGTGTTACATCTATGAATATTTCAATATAGAAATGTTTTAAATATTGATTACAAAGAATTTCATCAATTTCCTACAGTATCTGACTGCCTGTCTYACCCATTTTAACTATAGATCATTTTCTTCACCTGGACAAACCAGAGGTCTTTCTCTTTAGTAAGTCACATATGATTGTGAGTTTTTAAGGAATTACTTGGAGCCTAAGGTGAAATAGCAAACAGTATTTCAGAGCAATTCAATAGTTTTCACTGAGCTTGAATTTGTAATATTTAAAGTAATAAATCCAAATATGTTAATACGATTATATTAGTATTACTTAGAATCAGACAGTTAATAACTTTCTGATTATCCCTATTCTTTTATTTTATTTTTTAAAAATTTTTATTATTGGTTGTTCAAAACATTACATAGTTCTTGATATATCATATTTCACACTTTGATTCAAGTGGGTTATGAACTCCCATTTTTACCCCGTATACAGATTGCAGCATCACATCG